TCCAGTAAGAGCAGGCTTCTCAAAAATATACTTAATTGGATCCATTTTAGAAATCAACCAAGTAGTATGATTCAACATATATTGCCACAACCATTTTGCTGCCCAAGCCAAAGCACAACAGGTTTTTTCCAGCATAGAATACCGCAACTCACAATCAGTAAACTTCTTACTGAGATAATAAATGGAATATTCTTTTCTCCTTGTTTTATCTTGTTGTCCCAAAATACAGCCCATATAATTATCTAACACTGTCAGATACATAATTAATGGTCTTCCTTCAACAGGAGGGAGCAAGATAGGAGGTTCAAGTAGATACTTTTTAATACTTTCAAATGCCGATTAGAAATCATCTATCCATGCACAGCCTTGGTCTTTCTTTAACAACTTAAAGATCGGCTCACACGTCGCAGTCATATGGGAGATAAATCTGGAAATGAAATTCAAACGCCAGAGGAAGCCTCTAAATTTATTTTCAGTTCTGGGCGCTAGCATTTCTTGAATTGCTTTAACTTTATCAGGATCAACTTCATTCCCTTTTTGGCCGATAATGAAACCTAACAATTTTCCTGATCGGACACTAAAGGTGCATTTGTTCAGATTCAAGCGGAGACGATACTTCCTCAAACGCTAAAAACAATTTCAAAAAATCTTCTATATGGCCTTCCTCGATCTGGAATTTGGAAATCATATCATCAACATATAACTCAATTCCCTTGTGCATCAGATCATGGAATTGGTTTGTCATAGCCCTCTGGTACGTTGCACCAGCGTACTTCAACCCGAAGGGCATCCCTCTATAACAAAATATTCCCAAGGGTGTGATAATCGTTGTTTTTTCCATGTCCTCAGGAGCCATTCTGATTTGATTATATCCAAAAAATTTGTCCATGAACGAGAATACTTTGAATTTTGCTATACTGCCAACCAGTATATCAATATGTGGCAATGGAAAGTCGTATTTTGGACTAGCTTTGTTTAAATCTCTATAATCAACGCACGTGCGAACTTTTCCGTCTTTCGTTAGTACTGGGAATATATTAGCAATCCACTGAGGATACATTGATTTCACAAGAAAACCGGCATTAATCTGTGTTGTACCCCAAAATTTTCTCTCTCTTTTCTCAAGACATTTCTCACCAAAAATCTTCAATGACTCATGCTTGCACAAGTGTTGACTAGGTCAGATCATCTCCTAAGCACTGAGACCCCAAATTATGGTTTTGATTTTCACAAGGACAATTGGACTTCTAATGCCTCAAATGACTTTCATGGTTCATTATAGACCCCCAAGAATACTCATGCCAAGTTTCAAGCCTTGGATCACAATTTTGCTCAATCAATTGATCATATGACTGAAAATTATTTGTAAAGGGTAAAAAGTCAATTGTGGTCAACCTACAGTCAAACTTCAAGATTTTTGTCCCTATAAATATTTTGAAGCTATATTCATCAATTGATCAAGGTTTTATCAAAATTCTTCAAGAAAAGCATTCAAATCATCAAAGGGGGGCAAAATGGTCAAAATTAGGGTTTTGACTGAGAATGACTGATTTATGACTTTTGACCTAATACATGACCTAATGACTTGAAGCATAATCTTGAAGATTCAAGGACATTATCTTGATCTAATTTCATGATTCAAATCATTTCTCAAGATCAAAGATTGATAGTTGAATTTTTTATCAATGATGAAAAGTTAACTAATACATAAAAAGTCAAACTTTGACTTTTTGGTCAACATTATATTCCATAGATAAAAATTCATCAAGACATTAAAAAATATCAAACTTCATCATCAAGAATCAAGAAAGTCAATAAAGTCCACAAAAATTCAAAGTTTCCAATACTTAGAAATTTTCTAAGTGTTTTTACACTTGATAATTTCATTACTTCATGACTTTTTTTCACCAAGATGCAAGATGATTCAAAGAAAACTTTCAACATTAAAGTTGTATATCTTGATGAATTATACAACTTTGTATTAGAGGGTTAATGTCCAAAAAATTATTAGATTTGAAGATATAGGCTCATGAAGTCATGATATTTTTTATATAAACACTTAGAGAAATTTTCAACAGGTTTGGTCAGGTTTTTGTCCCAACTTATTGCCCAATTTTCATCAAGTTTCAATTTAATTTAGCCAAAGTGGTCAACATGAAAGTCGTAGATAATGTTTCAAGCTTTCCAAAAAGTCTAAGAGCATAGATTTATCATACTTGAGCTAGGAGATTCAAAGGCATGAAGTTGGGCATCCATTCTTAAATTACAAGTCATTTTGGTGAAGAACACATAATCCAATCTGCATGTTATGCTGCATAATCTTGTTTTACATGCCTTCTAACTTGCAAATCTCACCATAATTTAATGTTTACACAAACTTTTGAGCCATGGTCCATTTGATTTAAGCATTGTCCAAGTGATTTTTCCTTTTTTGGCACAAAGTTAACATTTCCATTCTTGCAAAGTAGCTTTAATCACAAAGTCAACTCTTCTTGAGCCTCTAACTTCTTCCTTCTACAAACCCTTAACATATAAAATCAGATAAGCATGCTAAAAGTATCCAACAACTCTATGAAGCAAAGTACAAAGCATTGGAACTATAATCTTCAAGCTTGCTTCATTTACAATCCAACCTAGCCACAACATGTGATCTTGCAAATCCGATCAACCCCTGTCTTAAAACCTCTTTCCTATAAATAGAGAGATCATTTTCAAGATTAAAGGAGGAAATGAACAAGACCTCAAAACCCCTATACTCTCAAAAAACCAGAATTATCCATAAAACCTTAGTTCAGATGGGTTTGAAATTTGGCAAAACAGGCAGGACAAGGGCTGACACGGGTGCCCGTGTCACACGACACGGCCCGTGTTAGTTAGAAATGTGCAAAGCAGGAAGGACAAGGGTTGTCACTGGTGCCCGTGTCACACGACACGACCCGTGTCAACTTGGCTGGAACAAAAAATGTGTAGAGGAGCAAGGGCAGATTCTGACACGGGTGTCCATGTCCGGTGACATGGCCCGTGTCAGCCTACGCATAAGAAAGCCTGATTTTTAACATTTTTTCTATAATTTTGGATCATTAAAGGTACACTAGACATTTTTCATTTCTTGTAGATGGCCTAACCCTATAAATTTTTTTTCTAGATAAAACATTCAAGTTATTTTCTAAAATAATTATAACTACAAAACCTTTTCTATCAAAAAATCCTAAAAAACAATTTCTTTTCACTTTACATTTTCTTGCGCAATTTACTATTTTGCATTATAAATTATGTAATTGTCAAAGCCTTGTAATAGTAATTAGGGTTTATTTTTACTTGTCATCCCCATTTGTAAATTTATATTTCCCATTGTTGCACCCCAAAATTTACCCTCTTCATTTTACTTTTGTGGCTTATGTTTCGTCATACACATTCATGCATTTTAAGATGGGATCAAGGTTTATAGTATTCATGGTTTTCCCCAAGCTATGGAATTTGGTTGTATTGTCAGACAATCCAAGATGAATTTCATCTCCTCATTATTTTGATCATTCAGGCTACCGGGCTCAGGCCTCATGACATCTCAAGTTCACTACCTGTTTCATTATAGATTTGGAAATGGCTAGGATTTTGATTATTGGAATGAATGATTTTCCCTTGGCAAAATTCTTGAAACAATGGCATCATAAGTCTTATCCTATATACCAAACATTTTGATTCAAAAGATCAACAAGGTTAGGGTTTTGATCCTAGAGATCTCTTCTCATCGAGCTTAGGGATTTTCTTCTCCAAATTACCAAGGTTGAAGTAGAGTTTATTTCTCTATACTTCTCAAGGGTTTTTGAAGTCATTGAGGATACCATTTCAATCAAGGGAAGTACCTGGTTCCTTCTCAGATCAAGGTTGGTGGAAGTGTCATCGTGTTTGTTCATCCTGCAAGGTTGGTGTGGATTAGATTTGAGTGGAGTTGGAATTCTTGTAAAAAAATTGTAAGTTGTTTGGAACTTATTCATTAAGGTTTCAAGTTTAACAATAAAGCATGGTTTTCACACAAATTGAATTTAAAGTTTCTAAGGAAACGTTGCAAATTTTATTCATGGTTTCAACTACCTTTCAAGGTTCTTTGAATTTGGAATTAAAAGAGTTTTGACATAAAGCTTATTCAACCATTCCATTCAAGTTATATTCATTATCCAAGTTTCATTCAAGTTTTCAAGAAATCCATCATCCATTGTCCAAATATGTCAAACCATGCCTTTATATTACATTGCAAAAATCAACGGTTACATCATGTTATTACAACAACATCAAAAGGGATGATCACAAATAAAAAAGAAGTCCAAAACCTATGCTGATAATATCAAATTTCACGAACTCTTCAAGCCTTGCCTAGGACCTTGCTTCATGTTGCAAATATACCCAAAATAGATGCCTTAACCATCAAAAGCGACAATACTGCCCTGCCCCAATTCTACATAACTCGTACCTTACATAGCCATGCCATAATCCACCACTTGCAATTGCTAAACCTGTAAAACATGAAGTCATGTACAAAGTATAACCAAAACCCAAACACAAAGTACAGATCTGCACTAAAATAAAACTGGTCCTGCTGCAATACAATATAACCGAACCAGGAAAATTTCAAAACAGAAAATAGAAAGGGTGAAAATAAAATCAGTGATTCAAATCTCACCATTCAGGTTTTTGTAACTAACTCTTGGATCAAAGGCTGAGAATGATACCTTCTGTAATAAAATTTGCTACACTTCAACTTCTATATAATCCTCATATCCTTCAAAATCCACGATCATGCTTCCTATTTCACAAAATCTCTAACAAACTTTCTATGCAATCTCTCTTCAACTCTCTCCGAGTTTTTCTATAATCTGTAACTGAATCACTCTTCAATCTTCATTCATCATAACCGCATTATCTTCAATCTTCATTCATCATAACCTCATTATCTTCAATCACTCTTCACTCTAACCATCAGCTTTTGCAACTTCATCAATCCTTCACATCTTCATTTGCAATTTCAACAACAATAACGCATCAAAGAAAATGTAGAAGAAAAAGAAAATCGAAGAGGAGACAAAATCGAAACATGGAAGAAACTGAGATGGAGTTTGTGAACCAGAGATAGTCGAAGCGGAAACACTGTTGATTTCATCGGAACCAGAAGAAGGAGAAGATGATTGAGAGCAGCGAGAAGGAGGCAGAACCGTGAGTTGGCGTCCAACGGAGGAGAATCACGAGCGAACTCTAAAAACTTTTCAACCTCTCTCTCTGAATTTCTCTTCAAACCTCCATCTCCTTGAACCTTCATCTTCTCAGAATCATCAACTTCCTATGCTCTCTTCATAGTAACACAAAACCTTCATTCTCTTCCTCGCTCCACTCTTCATCCCTGCAACATCATCATCAATCGCTGCATAATGCGCAAGAACAACTTCAATAACACTACAAGCATCACAACGCACACAATTTCAATCATCTTCACCAAAAAACACAAACGCGAAGAAGAGAAGAATAATATTGAAACAAGGGCGTATGTACCTGATATTTCTCTCAACATCATCGTGAAGTCCGCATCAGACTAATTCTGATCGAGAAATTGGACAAAGAACATAATAAGACGAAGCATGAAGAAGATCTATGGTGAGAAGAGGAAGTCGAACGATTGCTCATGGTGGCTGGAAGTTCTATGAAGAAAGAGGGAATACTGTGATGATGATGGCGTTGTTTGTTGATGAGGGAAGAGAGAGTGAGAGGCGGAGATCGCCGGAGATGGAAGGTATCAGCGGCGCTGCGAGTGTAGCGAGAGGGAGGAGGATTTGAAGCGGCACGCCCAATCATAACCCTAAAGTCCACGTATCCTCTCCTTTAAATTTCTCATTTGTTTTTATTTTATTATTTTTTCTTTGAAAATGGAGATAACAATATATGATAAAACAGAAAAGAGTTGATCATAATGTTGTTATCTGGACCCGAATTGTTTTTTGCTAAGCCCATGGCTCATTTTTGAAATCTTATTTGCAAACAAAAACTGGTATGTTGTGTGATTAGCGGACCAGATTGCATTCCCTTAGGCACGTTGGAGTTTTTTTGGAACTTAATTGCCTTGATACAAAAAACTGGCTAATGGACTCAACCTAATGGGCCTTCAGCGCATGACTTCTTCAGCACGCCCCAGATTATTTCTGCACCTCCCTCTTGAGCTCGTTTTTGCAGCGAAAAAAGGGAAATTTTGGGCTTCTCTTCAATGGGCCTGCAACGCCCAGGCTATTTCAGCATGCCACTTCTGGATTCAGTTTGCACACCTTAGGCTTTTTTTTTTTTTGTTTATTATTTTAGTAATTCTTTTTAAATAATTTTATTAATTGTTTAGACTTGCTTGAATTTTTCTTTGCATGATAAAAATAATAAAATCAAATATAAAAAATTGATTAGATTTTTTTTTTCAGAATTAAATTCGGATTATCCAATTACTTGAGATTGGTAATTCACCTTTTCTTATTGAGATCTGAGTTTTATTCAGGTGTATCGTGTCATATGCAGATGTGCTTGAGATTCCGATTGTGATTTATATTTACATCGACGGTATTTTGACACTTGTTCACGATATTTGATTTCTGACTCTTTTCTTTGCTAGGTGATGCTTACTCGAAGTTTTCTGGGTTTCTCTATTTTTGCTCGCGGCGCTACTAACTTTTGTTCGTTTGATATTTTCTCTCGTATACCTCGTTTTAGAATTTACCGCTTTCTAGAGATCATGTATAGTAGGGACGTTTATTGCTTTCTAGAAGTCATGTGAAGTAGGAAGCAGGAAATAAAGAGCGTGCACTCGAAGTCGTTGTTTAAAGTCCTGTAGTAGGCACCATTTTTTGTATGCTAATTGTGTTTGTTTAAAATCCTACCTTGGAAATAGGTATTATGCACGTGTGTTTATATTTGTTCCTGCACTATATTACAGGTAAAAAGTCCTCAAAAGGAGGCGAGCGAAAAGGGTTCATAATCGACCCCCGCATATTCTAGTTCATGTCGTTCCTATGCTCACTTTCTACAAGTAGATGCTCCGAAGATGTGCCCAAGATTTAAATGAATTTAAGTCCTTCAAAGGCAAGTGAAAAAGGTTCCCGCAATAGGATCCTCACGCTTTCTTTAGCTCGTGTTGACCAATACTGATGCTTAGTTTATGCATGTACTATGTCTTCTCCCCCAGATATTTCTTGCCCTGATAATTGATATCACGGTTAAGGACCCTTTTGTATTCCTATAAGTTCTATGGCTTATTGACTCGGATGATACGCTCCCCTTGGCTTTGGCTTGACCCATGGTCTGATGCTTGGTTGCTTGTCTATGGCGGGACCTCCCTTTATACTACTAGGCATGCGCCTTGTAGGTGTTTGATATCGAGTGATGCTCGAACTTTTGTTTGTCCAGATGTTTTGCCACCTGTTTGCATGTTTTTGTTACAGGAGCTGTGACATTTTTACCACGCACCCTTGGGATTGCTCGATTAGAGTAACTTTCGAGCTAGACCTTAGGACAGGAATCCATGCATGCTAACATAGAATAGAAACTCCCTTTTTTCATCCTCAACCTTAGGGTCAATCATTGTATGTTAACATTAGGGGTAGTGCTAGGCTAGTCTCCTTTAGTTATTTTTCCTTTCTTTATATATTTCATATTAAAACTAAAACTTCTTCTTGGCAAATCATAAAATACCTCTAATGAACTTCAATCCTTCTTCAAGGTAAAAAATAGAAACCAATCTTAATTGTTTGTGCGCCTTTTGGCTTTGTTCTAAACCCTGTCAAATTGATGCTTTGCCATCTTTGCTGTGTTACTTCGCTATCTTTTAGCCGATGTTTTGCCATCGCATATGTTTAAGCCAATGTTTCGCCATTGCACATGTTTGTTATCCTACTTTTATTCTCAATATCATTGTTAGTTGTGATGCTTTATCATCTGAGTTATTGATGTTTCTCCATCTTTGCCATGTTATCTTTCTATCTTTTCGCCGATGTTTCACCATCGCATATGTTTGTTACTGATGTTTCGCCATCACACATGTTTGTTATCCTACTTTCATTCTCAATATCATTGTTAGGTGTGATGTTTTATCATCTGAGTTATTGATGTTTCTCCATCTTTGCCATGTTATCTTTCTATCTTTAAGTCGATGTTTCACCATCGCATATGTTTGTTGCTGATGTTTCGCCATCGCACATTTTTGTTATCCTACTTTGATTCTCAATATCATTGTTAGGTGTGATGTTTTATCATCTGAGTTATTGATGTCTCGTCATCTTTGCCATGTTAATTTACTATATTTTTGCCGATGTTTCTCCATCGCATATGTTTGTTGCCGATATTTCACCATTGTGTATGTTTGTTATCCTACTTTGATTCTCGATATAATTGTTAGGTGAGATGTTTTATCATCTAATTTGTTGATGTTTCTCCATCTTCTCCATGCTATGTTTCTATCTTTTTGCCGATGTTTCATCATCGCATATGTTTGTTACCGATGTTTCTCCATCGCGTATGTCTGTCATCCTACTTTGATTTTCAATATCATTGATAGGTGTAATGATTTATCGTCTTGTCTGATATTTTGCTATCTTGATGACGTGTCATCATCTCATCTGAGTTTGTGTTACCATGTGATGTCTTGTCATCCCTTTCTCGTTGCTTTATCATTGTTGTTGATGTTTTGTCATTTTATCTTATGTTTTGTCATCTTGACTGTTTCTTTTGTCTTCTTAACTAAAAAACAAAAACCAACCAAAATATATGAGCCGAACTACGGCTGCTCTGATTCCTTAAAAGGGATACATAGGCATTGGGGTAGGGCCCAAGCGAGCAAAACTTTTGTTTTACCTATATTATCTTCTCCTTTCTTTTGCATGCATTCCCTATACAACTTAGATGTAGATCCTAACACACCCTTAGATTAGAACAACAAGAGTGGATACCTTAGAGTACTATGAGTGTGTGGGGTGCTAATACCTTCCCCTCGTGTAACAAACTCCCTTACCCGATCTCTTAGTCATAAGACTGTGATATCTCCCTTTCAGGTTTTCTCGATGTTTACCTTTCCCTTTCTGCGGGATAAAAGACTTCTGGTGGCGACTTCATTGATTTCATTATCGGATGACGGTTTGACCGGTTGTTTCAGCTGGCGACTTCACTAGGGAATGATTGACCTATTGCTGGTCCATCCCGGAGTCGATCCTAGCTCTTGACCTATTGCTGGTCCATCCCAGAGTAGATCAGGACAATATATTTTCTAAGAAGTGTTGAAATGGTTATCGACTTTTTGGGTTTTCTCCTGCCAAGTGTTGGGTTTGATTTAAAATCCCCATAAATTTGACCTCTTGTTATAATGTTAACTTCTTGATTCCCCAGGAAGGCTATCGCAGGGAATTTTTGTTGAAATAAGTTCGCATGATATATAGACTCAATCCAAGATTCCCCAGTGAAGGCTTCACTTATTTAATGAAAGTCTTTTCTCCCCGTGCATGCTGAGTTGGACTCATTTGTGAAGCGTCTCCCTTTCGGCAGTACTTGCATTTTGTTTGATTTCCCGGTAGTCAGGCAAGAGCAATGTTTCATTTAAGAAGTGTTGAAATGGTTATCAACTTTTTGGCTTTTCTCCCGCCAAGTGCTGGGTTTGATTTAAAATCCCCATAATTTTGATTTCTTGCTGTTATATTTGACTTCTTAACTCTCCAAGTGGTTATCCCCATGAGGTGTCATACTTTTTCCCCAGAGAAGTTGGTACAACACTTACTCTCAATATTGAAGAACGTATCTTGGTTTCCTCTCTTTTATGTGGTGTTGACCTCCCCAATGGAGTCAGCACGAAGTCTCTAGTTGGTATCTCGATGATGAGGCACTATCTCCCCTAGTAAAGCCTGTATGATATTTCCCCAATGAAGTCATCTTGAAATCGTCAGTTGATGTTTTTACTATATGGTTTTCATCTGCCTTACTTGAAATCAATATTGCAATCCCCAGTAGGAGTACGGACCGTGAAACATTTGTTTTCCCCATTGAAGTCTGTGCTATTCCCTAGTGAAGCCTGGAGATGGATGTTATATCCCTGTATCTATACTGATTTGTCGCTATGATTTGATTAATGTCGGATTATGTTCTTTCCTAGTGAAGTTAAGATGTGAAATAGGAATCTGTCTCCTCAGTTGGCGCTTATTTTCTTATGGAATTTTCATCTTGGATGTGATTTAGCCGAGTTTTGACTGTACCCAAGTTCGTTTTCTCTGTTTATCCCCAGTGTTATATGTATGTTTTGTCAGCATATACATGATAACACTCATACATTCATACATAAATCATACATAGTTGAATTTAGCAAATCATTGCTCATTCGCATTCATTAATTTTCATTGTTGACATAATACCTTGTTTTGCAAGGTTGTGTTGTCCTCTCTCCAATAGAGTGTAAACCTTAATACTCTTCTTGTTTCTAAACTTGAACCACTTTCATAATAAACTTGGACTTATGTCCATGCATTTTCAAAACATTTTCATAAATAAAATTCAATTAACTTA